ACATTCATAGATTAAGGGAGTGTGGTAAAGGAAGAGTAAGAAATGAAACTATATGGGTAAAAGTTTTTACACTTTATGTGAAGGGATAATAATAATAATAATACAAAATGTATAGGTAAAAATCCAATAAATAAATTAAAATAGAGCTGAGTGTGGTGATGCACACCTATAACCACAGAAGGCTGAGGCAGGAGACTCACAAGTTCCAGGACAGCATAGACAACATAGTGAGACCCTATTGCAAAATAAAATTTCAAAAAGGGCTAAAGCTGTAGCTCACTGGTTGAATGCTTGCCTAGCAGGCCTAAGCCCCTGAGTTCAACATCTGGGACTACAAAAAATAATAACTAAAATAAATATCTAAAAAAATCTAATAAACCAAAATAAGTCAGGAAAAGAAGAACAGCAGAAGGGACAACAGATAAAAGACACATATCTGGGCTGAGGGTGTAGCTGAGTGATAGTGTACTTGCTTAGCATGCAAGAGACCCTAGGATCAGGTCCTCAGCATCACACATACACACACACACACACACACACACACACACACACACATACACACACACACACAGACCATATTTCCAACAACTATATCAATAATTCCACTAATGGACCAAAACACTTGACTAAAAGGCAGAAGTTGTTAGAATAAAAGCAAGATCCAGTGTGAAGAGCAGCGATCTAAATCATGGCCTATGTGACTCTTGTGGCTCTGTTTGTGCTGGGAGCTGCCTGTGCAAGGTACAGGTCAAGATGCCTCAGTTGCTTTGGTAACACCAGCAATGGGTAGCTACATGCAAGGCTAGGCTTTAAATTCAGCACCTTCTCCCATGGATAGAGGATGCTGAGTAAAACAAGATGACCCTAATGCCTTGCCAGTCCTGTGTCCTTCAGGTTGCTTGCTTTGCTGAAACTTTCCCACAAATAACCTTTTAATAATGAAACATATAAAACAAACTTGCTGAGCTAGCTCTGGAGACAGTCAAGCCTCACCAGGACTTGGCTACCCACCTGGCCCCAGCTTTTTCTTCCTATGTGTGTCTGTCTATCTTTTTTTTTCATCCCTTCATCACCCCTCTGGTTACTGAATGAACCACCTAGGCATAAGGCCTCAGCAACCCAGTTATATGCTCTCTATAAGAGATGTACTTTGAATATAAAGACAGTTTAAAAGTTAATGAATGAGAGCCAAGTGGTGGCTGTAATCCCAGATACTCACAAGGATGAGAAAGTTCTAGACCAAAAAGACAAAGTTCTAGGCCAGCCAGAACAAATTAGGGTGACCCTGTCTCAAAATAAAGAAAGGTGATCGCATGCTTGCCTAGCATGCACAAGGCTCTAGGTTCAATCCCTTGTACTGTGAACAACAACAACAACAAGTTAATGAGTGAGTTGAAAAAAATATACTATAAAAATAGTAAGAGCCGAATGCAGTGGCATATGCCTATAATCCCAGCAACTCAAGAGGCTGAAGCAGGAGGATCACAAGTTCAAAGCAGCCTCAGCAACTTAGCAAGGACCTAAACAACTTAGTGAGACCCTGTTTCAAAATAAAAAATAAAAAGGGTTAGGGATGTAGTCCATTGGTTAAGCACCCTGGGCTCAATCCCTGGTACCAAAAAAACAAAACAAAAAAAGAAAAATAAAAACTAGTAAGTTTAGAAGAAAGGAGTGTCATATTTGATTATAAAATAGACTTTAAGACAAAAAGTATTACCATACATAAAGAGGAATGTTTTATTATGAGAGCCAATTCACCAAGAAGACACAACAATAAATCCTTCAAACACATCTTTCTGTTCCTTCAGTCCTAAAACATTCTTCTTCTCTTCACCTGTATAACTTATTAATAATTTAATAATTTATAATTTCTATAGTGTGACCTTCCCCTGCTTACTGTCCTTAGTTAAAGCTCCTTCCTCTATGCATCCATAATATTTTGTACTTGATTCTAACACAGTGTACATGTAATTACTTTTTTCTAAGTCACTTTATGAATACAGAACATATGTTTAAAAAGTGTACAAAATAAGTGTACATCTCAATTATCATAAGGTTAAACTCCACAAAACAACTTCCCAGAATAAAAAACAGGATTGACATGAGCCCTCACCCCTGCCCTTTCTCAATCACTACCTTCTCCTTCTTCCCCCAAAGTACCAAATATCTTTAATTTTATGATTTTTTTTATAATTTAAAATCTAACCATTTACCCCTAAAAGTTTTTTTTCGCACTTTTTAAAAATGAAATAGACCATATGTCTTTTTCAAACCTGGACTAGTTTGTTTCATATAAGGTTTATAATGTGGTAACTATAGATCACTTATTTTAACTTAAGTGTCGTATTTCATTGTATAAATATGCCAAAATGTACAATAACCAATTGGTTGTTTCCATTTGTAACTACTACAAAAAATTCTGTATTGATTGTTTCTGCACATGATTTTTCACATATACACATTCTATTGAGTGAACTGATGGGTCATAAGATATACCTATCTTTTAACTTTAATAATAGGAAACTTTTCCAGCATAATAGTATCAACATAAATGCTCAGTTTTAGAATATTAGAATGCCCATCCATCATTCCACATAGCCAGCATTTGGGATTATAAATTATTTGTCCTAATGAAAATATAACTGTGTCCTCTTGTGGTTTCAATTTGCATTTCCCTAATGACAACTGAGGTTGAACACAGTTTTATATGTTTATTAGACCCTTGGACATCCTCTTTTTGGAGTGCCCATACACTCTCTGGCTTGTTTTTCCACTAGGTATCTATCCCATTCTAATTAATTTGTAGGAGTTTTCCATATATTTTAGATTTAAGCACTTTCCTGATAATGTTTGATTATATAAATATTAAGTAAATGGTTATATACTTTATACCACATTGGAGCTTCCTCTCTCTCTCTCTCTCTCTCTCTCTCCCCCCCCCCCCTCTCTCCACCCCCTCTCATCTCATCTTCCCTTCTCAGTGTGGTGCTGGGGATCAAACCTAGGGTTCTACACATGCTAGACAAGTGCTCTATCACTGAACCACATACCCCAAAACATTCTTTCCCTCTCTTTTGATGAACAGAAATTTTTAATTTTTTTTAGTTGTAATTGGACACAATACCTTTATTTTATTTATTTATTTTTATGTGGTGCTGAGGATCGAACCCAGGCCCTTGCACATCGAGGCGAGCGCTCTGCTGCTGAGCCACAACCCTAGTCCAGAAGTTTTTAATTTTTAATGTAGCCAAATTTACCAACCTTTTTCCTTTACAATATGAACCACTGGTGGCCTGTTTAAGAAATCTTTCCCTATCCAAAGTCAAGATGGTAGTCTTCTATAATATCTAGAAATTTTATGCTTTAGCCTCTCACATTTAGATTTATACTGTAATGGTTAATTTGAATTGTCAATTTGGTTGGATTAAGAGATGGTGAAGATAGGCTTCTGGATGTGTCAGTAAGGGTGTGTCTAGGAATGACTGCCATGTGGGATAGTGAACTGAAGTAGAAACCTAAGAGTAGACAGCACCATCCAATAGGATGGTGGTTCAAATAGAACAAAAGTTGGAAGAACAAGGAAGCAGCAGTAGATGCAAGTTCAATTCTTCTTTAATGGGTTTTCCTGATTGTGGCTGTTATTGTCTGAGGATATCAGACTCTAACTCCTTCACTCTTCTAAAGCGGACTCTGCCAGTGATTCTCCAGGGAGTTTCCAGAAGCCTTCAATCTAGGGCTAGGGTAGCATGGTTGATCCCTCTTGTTTTGAGGCTTCAGCCTCTTGGACGGCACAGCTACTGGTTCTTCCAGCTCTCCAGCCTACAGATGGCCATTGTGGACTATCCAGCTTCTGGTTGTAAGCCAATCTAATAAATCCCCTTTTTTTTTGTAATCATACTTCCTGTTGATTCTGTTCCTCTAGAGAACCCTGACTAATACATATACTGATATAGAATTGATTTTTGTGTATGGTATCAGGTCAGAGGAAAGTCTAATTTATTCCCAGGTGTGCAATTTCTTCAGCATTATTTATTAAAAATACTGTCTGTCACTGCACTGTTATACCCTCCTGTCACAAATCTGTCATGGTTTTCTTTATATTTTGTTCCATTGCTCTATTTGTAAATTCTTGCACTGATATATGCTAGGGTTTTTTTTTGTTGTTGTTTTTCTTTTCAGTATATGTGCTGTTTTAATTAGTGCGGCTGTATAATAATTCTAAAAATTTTTTTAAAAAATCCTTCTGCTTGTTCTTCTTCAATACTGTTGACTATTTTTACTCCTTAGCATTACTTTTTTCTTTCTTTTTTTTTCACCCCCCTTGATACTGAGGATTGAACCCAGAGGTGCTTTGCCACTGAGATACATCACCAGCCCTTTTTATTGATTGATTGATTGATTGATTGATTGATTGATTGATTGATTGAGACAGGTTCTCACTAAGTATTTAGGTCCCCACTACCTTGTTGAGGCTGGTCTTGAACTGGTGACCCTCTTGCTTTAGCCTTCTGAGTTGCTGGGATTATAGGCATCTGTCAACATGCCCAACTCTGGCCTTAGCATATCTATATAAATTTTAGGATCACTTTATCAAGTTTCTAAAAAATAAGATGAAATAATATAAAACCCAGTGAGGATTATAATTGAGATTAAAAGAAATCTATAGATGATTTGGGAAGAATTGATATCTTTTTAATGTTGAGTCTTCCAACCTATAAACATAAAGATTTTTGTTTCAATTAACAAGGGCACTGTGCCACTGAGATACATAGCCAGCCCTTTTTAATTTTTATTTTGAGAAAAGATCTTGCTTAGTTGCTGAGACTGACCTTGAACTTGCAATCCTCCTGCCTTAACCTCCCAAGTTGCTGGGATTACAGATGTGTGCCACTACACCCAACTCCCAAGATACAATCTTTAAATTCCCTAAAAATTGCTTGACACCCTCTCAGATTTTGTATTTGCCAGGTAATTTTTGTATTTGTCCAGGTAATCCTTACCTGTACTTCAGCTTGCCGTTCTTTTTTGACATTACTCAGCTGTTTTTGAAGGGATTTTATCTGTTTTCTTCCTTTTTCCTCCCTAGAAGAAATAGAACATTTTGGGTTTAGGGCAGGGCTTCTCAAACTGTACTATGTACAAGGATCAATAGGACATTAAAAGCAGAATCTGTAAGTTCCTCCAGAGAGTCTTACTCAGTAGTCCTGAGATGAGGCCTTAGAATTTGCATCCCTAAGGAGTCCAGGCAATGCTACTGGTGCTAGTCCATGGAGCATACTTCTTTTTTTAAAAAATATTTTTTTAGTTGTCAATAGACTTTTTAAAAAAATTTATATATGGTGTTGAGAGTCAAACCCAGTGCCTCACACATGCTAGACAAGCGCTCTCCACTGAGCTACAACCCTAGCCATGGAGCACACTTTTGTAACATTTTTTAAAAAGACTATTTTTTTTTCATAAATTTGTAGATTTTCTGGCTTATCAGTGCTGTATTTAAAATAGTTTCTGCTGAAAAAAAATTAAAAAGAGGAGGAAAACGAAGAGACAATAGAGGATCTCTTCTATTCTGAATACTTTAATTATATATTCTTATCTCAAAATAAACTTAGGAGATAGTCTAACATTATTCCTATCTTTCCTGTGGTAGACACAACAATGCACCTTGCAGACCTCCAACTATAGGGAGTTTATGTGATCAGGTCCCAGCTTTTTTTGGTTCCTAGGGTTGAACCCAGGGGTATTTAACCACTGAGCTCTGAAATTCTTCACTGTCTATATTCTAGAGTCACTTCCCATAGAAAGGTGCTAAACCATTTACTGAGTGTGGCAGGGATACCAGGGCAGGCCCTTTCCAGAGAGCCAGGACTTCTCTAATGGTTGACTTTGCTCAAATACTCCTTGATGACCTTGCCAAACCACCTTTTGACAGCCCAAGGATCTTTCCCATGCAAATTTTCCTCTCCTTCTCTTGGGGTCAGTCTTGCATTAGATCTCACACAGGTGTTTCCCCTGATAATATCTTTGCTTGTATAATCCCATCTTTACCTCTATTTCTCAGGTCACCTGAACTAACACACTTTCCATGGTCACAAAAACATTAATTAGCAGACATGGTTTAAACTAGGTCCTGTTTAACACCAAACCTGAGAATGTAACTACTTTGTGTGACTGATTCTCAGGTTGTCCTGAGATACAGAATTCTTGCTTCTTTCTAGAAATTCCAGTATTTAGGTTTCAAACAAACAAAATAACAAAACAATATAAAAATAAGAAGTCAGGCACAGTGCTGCATACCTGTAATCCCAGTGACTCAGGAGGATGAGACAGGAGGATTGCAAATTCAAGGTCAGCTTGAGAAATTTAGTGAGGCCCTAGTAATTTAGAGAGCTCAAAATAAAAAATAAAAGTTCTGGGGATGTAGCTCAAAGTAAAGTATCCCTGGATTCAATCCTCAGTATAAATAAATAAACAAAAGAATAAAAAAAATTATCACTAAACTGCATCTAGGTAAATATTTTTATTCAAGATTTTTTTTGGGGGGATGGGTACTGGGAGAAAACCCAGGAGTGCTCTTCCATTGAGCTATATCTCTAAAGCCTGCCTTTCTTTTTTTTTTTTTTGGTTCCTGGGGTTGAACCCAGGGGTGTTTAACCACTGAGCCAACTCTTTTTTAATATGCTATTTAGAGACAGGGTCTTGCTGAGTTGCTTGGGGCCTTACTAAATTGCTGCTTTGAACTCTGATCCTCCTGGCTCAGCCTCCTGAGCCATTGGGATTACAGGCATGTGCCACCACACCCGGCTCCCCAGCACCCCCCCTTTTTTTTTGTAATTTTTTTTTTTAGTTGAACACAGACAAAATACTTTTGTTTTACTTATTATTTTATGTGGTATTGAGGATCAAACCTAGTGCCTCACTTTGAAAGGAAAACACTCTACCACTGAGCCACAACCCCAGCCCCTCCCCAGCCCTTTTTAGTAAAATTATTATATTTTATTTAGTGACAGTGTTTTGCTTAAATGCCCAGGCCAGCCTTGACTTTACCATCTTCCTGCCTCAGACTCCTGGGTCACTGGGATTACAGGTATGCACCATGCACACAACTTTTATTCAAGAAATTTTAGAAAGCATATACCTAACTAGAGTCTTGAGATTGTCATTGTCAAAACAAACTGTATATTAGGTATTTCCCACTTACAGATCAGAAGAAACACATATGAGATATGCATAATAGTTTATCTCTACTATTAAATCAACCTCCCAAGGTCAGATTCCTTCATACATACAAATAAATGTCATTTATAGGAGGCTATAAAAGTGATATATGACCATTTTAGAAAACCTAGAAAATGAAAAAAGAAAAGAAAAATTATCCCTAACCCCATTATCTAGGGTAAACTCTGGTTAAAATTTTATGACATTCCTTGCAGTCAAGGTACACTATAAGTTTCGTCTTCCAGAACTGAGGCTATATTATTTATCCTATTTTTTCACTTAGCGTAATTATGTGCACTTTCTCTTTTCAATTAATTGAACATGTGTATTTATTTCTGTTCCCCCTTGAAATAATACTGAAATAAAAAGAAAGGAATAATAAATGATATAAACATACAAAGAGATCGTAAGAAAACAATGCAGATAAAAGAAAATTAACAAGATTATGGAAGATATAAAGCAAAAAAGAAAACAATGAAATATAAATGTGTACAGAATGAGAAATCAAGAAGAAAACTGAATTAACCTGCAGACCTCAGGAAAGCTTAGCACATAGAGGCACCAGGCATCTTTGAAGGCAGGTAGAGCTTGAGTTCCTTCCCAAGTCCTTGTGGTCATAACTGCCTTTCTTCATCTTGAACATGATGTGGGGTTTTTTTTTTGTTTGTTTGTTTGTTTTTTGCTAGTTTTTGCTTTGTCTCTTGCAAGGGTTGAACCAGAAATTTGGGCAGTGGATGCAGTAGGAGGTGGAGAAGAAGGTCATGCTCAAAAGAGGGAAACAGCCAGGCATGGTGGCATGCTGGTGGATTCCAGCAGCTTTGAAGGCTGAGGCAGGAAGATTGAAAGCAACTAGAGATATGAAAAATTGTGCTCTATATGTGTAATATGAATTGTAATACATTCCACTGTCATATATAAATTTTAAAAATTAATAAAAAAAGAAAAAGAAATAAATAAGGGCTGGCGATACGGTTCAGTGGTTAGGCATCCCTAGGTTCAATCCCCAGTACTCAAAAGAAAAATAAATTAAAAATAAATAAAATTAGGGAAACAATAAAATTCTACTTACTGTATAGTGAGTTTCCCCAATCTCCTTCCCTGGCCAGCTCCCAAACACATGGTAGTCAGAGATCAAATACAGTGAATAACCTTTACTTTTTCTCTGCTTCTTACCCACCAGGGGAAAAGATCTATAGATTCACCCAGCCCATTATATAAGGAATTACTGTTTACATGTATAGAACATCCAATCAGCTTCTCAGTGCTTCACTCTTAAATACAAAGGGACCAAGTATTTAAAAAATTACTCTAACATTAAAGACAGAGTCTAAAACAAACTTGAGGAGAAAAGCAATTTAGAGAAAAGACAGACAATACAAGGAAGATAAAACTTAAAAAAAAATAATAAGACAAGGAGCTGGGGGTTCGGTGGTAGGATGTTTGTCTTAGCATGCATGAGGACCTGGGTTAATCCCCAGCAACAAAGGATGCTATGAAAAAAAATGAAAGACTTAAAGAGAATAAGAAAGAGTTCTTGAATTACACATGTTAGCATGAAATCTTTAAAAATAAAAAAAAGGATAGGAAAATCAAGTTAAGTAAATCTGAGATTAAACAAAACCCATACTGATGGTCAATGAACAAAAAGGATAAACTTACTTTACTTGTTTATTACCCAATCTGATATACTGTTATAGCAACACAAAATGAACTCAGATAGGGTCATAGGGCAACTCTCTGCTCAACTTTTCTGTAAATCTAAAATTGCTCTAACAATAAAGTCTAATAACTTAAAAGAAGCATTTCCTAAATACAACTTACTTAGTACTATCAAAGAACAAAATTTCAACAAATTTAGTTTAAAGATCTAATTAGTTTTCATTAGCAATTCATGAATTGCGCAGCATCCCATCTATGAAACAGAAAGGCATTCCAATGAGCTGAGCAGAGGAGGTAGGTTTTATTTATTCACTTAGCATTTGTTAGTATTTAATGAACCTCCAGAGCTCTGTGTGGCTTCAAGCCACCAGGACACAGGTACCCCCAACACCCTTAATCATCTCCTCAGTTCTTCTGTTGATGAATTTGGCCTTCACCATGTCAGGCTGCTTTGGGAATTTTCCCTTCCCCCAAAATGAGGTAGGTTTTAGGCAGAAAAGTACTGAAGAAGCAGAAACAGTAGGGGCGGGGCGGAAGCAGATTATCATTTAAAGTTACTTTTCTTACAGGGTTAAAGCGGAGGAAACTTTTTTTTTTTTTTTAATCATGCCAGCGCCTGTTCTTAAAACATAAAAATCCCCTGTAATTGGTTTCTGTGAATTTGCTAGTTTTTGGAAAATTGGACTGTTTTAAAATACAGTTTAATCATGTGGCATCTAGTGAAAGCACTCCATTCTGGTTTGGTATGATCTGTTGGGAGTAGTACAGGAACTCAGTCCTAATCAGCGACCTCCCATAAATTTTATTGGACTTAACAGTACCTACTTTATGCTCAGCTTCCTGACACAAGATAGGAACAGTCCTTGTGTGGATTGCCAGTAATAAATGTTAAGTCTATAATAGCAGTTATTATTGTTATTAGGCAACTACTATGTGCTAGCAACTATCTTTTACATGTATTAATTAGTCTAGTGTTCATAATAACTCCAATATAGCTGGGGATGTAGATTGCTTACCATGTGTGAGGCCTTGGGTTCAATCTCTAGTACCACAAAACAAAACCAAAATAAAATTTAATAATTCTAGTGCAGAGTTTATTAGCAATATTAAGGAAAGAAAGAAAAGGGAAAACAATTCTACCTATCCAGACAAGATAACCACTTTTTTAATTCTAAGTACAGTCACCCCTTCATATCTGTGAGTTCCACATCCATGGATTCAACCAACCATGGACCAAACATATTTGAGGCCAGGTATGGTAGTATAGATCTATAATCCTAATAACTTGGGAAGCTGGGGCAGAAGGATCACAAGTTCAAGGCCAGCCTCAGCAATTTATTGAGACCTTGTGTCAAAATAAAAAATAAAAAGGTCTGGGGATGTAACTCAGTGGTAAAATGCCCCTGGGTTCAATCCTCAGTACCAAATGGGGGGTGCAATAGTGAGTATGTACAAACTTTTTTTGTCTTTATTCCCTAAATAATATAATAACTAGGTATATAACATTTATTTTATATTAGTTCTAATAAGTAATTTAGAGATGATCAAAATACATGAGAGAATGTGCATTGGACAGTTTTGGTATGTACTTGGAGTCCTGGAAGCGAGCCCTTGTAGATACTGAGGTATATGGACTCAGAGAATTTTATTATACTCCCAAAGAACTTAAATGTATTGATTCTCTTTTTCTTTTTTCTTTTCTTTTCTTTTTTTTTTTTTTGGAGATGGATGCTAGGAATTGAGCCAAAGGCATCAACACATGCTAAATATGTGCTCTACATATTACACCCCCAGCCTTATGTGGAATATTCTTAAAACATAAAAATCTTTGGTACAAGTTGAAAATTTCTTTAAAAGAAAACTTCTCTTGGTATGCAATTTTTTGTTTGTTTTCTGGTGCTTGGGATAAAACCCACGGCTGTGCACATGTTAGTCAACTGCTCTATCATGGAGCTATACCATAGCCCCAGCATGAACTTGTTATTAATCAAAGATTTTTCATTGAACTCAGTCTCAGGCACAGTACACACTCAGGTACAGTGACACATATTTGTGATTTCACTGGATCGGGAGGCTGAAACAAGAGAATTTCAAGTTTGAGGCCAGCCTGGGCAATTTAGTAAGACCCTGTCTGAAATTAAAAAGTAAGTGGCTGAAGATGTAGCTCAGTTGTAGAAACCCCTGGATTTAATAAAAATAAAGGGTTGAGAATGCAGTTTGGTGGTGGAGCACTCCCAGTTTCCATCACAAAAGAGAGAGAGAGAGAGAGAGAGAGAGACATATTACTATAGAAGGAAGAACAACTTTGATTTATCATAGATTCAGATAATCAAGGCCCGCAAAAAATCTGAGTTATTGACTCAGATTAGCTAGGAATAGAACCCAAATTTCTCACTTTCAGTTACTCAGTTATATCTTCCCTGGAAAGGAAATACTTGGTTTGTTTTAAAGTGGGGTTTGGTGGACACATCTGCAGTCCCAGCTATTCAGGAGGATGAGGCAGGACTACTACTTGAACCCAGGCATTTGAGACCAGGCTATCTGCACAACATAGCAAAAGCCCATATAAAAATTTTAAAAATAAAATCAAAGCAAAGAAACATAACATTACTTTACCTGGCAATGATATCATAGAAATGCATTTTTTTTTCCCTTTCTTTGTTCAAGGTTTGCAGGAGAGTTGTGAAAGTGCCTGAATCTTGTAACTCCTGCATGGTATTTTCAATCACATCACTGAAAAACATCCTGTAAAGAGAAACAGAAAAAAGTTAATCAGATATATTTCCTTATCTTCACAAAGGGCTGTAGAAATCAAGTTTAAAGCCAGAAAGAACATCCTAAATTGGGATTATCCCAGGAATGTGATAATAGTTTAGCACTAGAGAGTTTATTAATAGAATACACCAGATTACTAAAGACTAAAGGAGAAAAATCATAAAATCATCTCAATAGTTGTAGAAAAGGCATCTAGCAAAATTCAATACCCACTCATGATTTTAAAAGAAACACAAAAACAATAAACTCAGGAGGGTACAGTGGTGAATGCCTGTAATCCCAGTTACTCAGTAGGCTTCAACAGGAGGATTCCAAGTTTAAAGTCAGCCTGTGAAATGTAGCAAGACCCTACCTCAAAATAAATAAAAAGAGGGGGGATTATGGGTCAGTGGTAGAGTGTTCGCCTACCACATGCGAGGCCCTGGGTTCAATCCTCAGCATCATAAATAAATAAATAAATAGATAAAGGTATTGTGTCTAACTACAACTAAAAAAATGAATATTTTTAAAATAAATAAATAAATAAATAATCTGGGTATGTAGCTAAGAGACTGAACTCTTGGGTTCAGTCACTAGTATAGCAAATAAAACAAAAACAAGAAACTCCACAAATTGTAAACAAATGATAACTTCCTTAACTTGAAAATCTTTCCAACAACAAATGTTGAATCAACTGTATGATACCATATGCATAACATTTTAAACATGTGAAACTACTTGTATTGTTTAAAGAAAACACATGCATACTAAACTGTCATAACATGCTAGAAATAATAAACATGAAAAAGTAGGAGGACTGAGATTGGAAGTTTTTATTGCACCTAAAATATGTTTCTTAAAAAAACCAAAGCAAGGACTGGGATTGTTGCTCAGTGCAACTTGCCTAACATGTGTGAGGCCCTGGGTTGAATCCCCAGCACCACATAAAACTAAATAAACAAAATAAAGGCATTGTGTCCATCTACAACTAGAAATATTTTTTTTAAAAAATACCAAAGCAAAAATGCTAAAATGTTAACATTTAGTGATTCCATACATAAGACTTATTATTTCATACTTTACACTTTTCTGTATGCTTAAAATATTTCAAAATTTTGAAAAAGTTAATTTAATTTTTTTTAAAGAGCTAATTAAACCCTCACACTTTAGAGATGAGTAAATCTAGGTTCAGGAAGCTTAGGTGACTTGTCCAAGGTCACATAACTAGCTTGAAAAAGATACAGCACCATATAACTTAAGTTTCTAGTCTCCTAGTTCCCCGCTGTTTATAATATTCTTCTAAGTGGGAATTTTTTTTTTAAATTATTAGTTGTTCAAAACATTACAAAGCTCTTGACATATCATATTTCATACATTTGATTCAAGTGGATTATGAACTCCCATTTTTACCCCGTATACAGATTGCAGAATCACTTAGATTACACATCCACGTTTTAACATACTGCCATACTAGTGTCTGTTGTATTCTGCTGCCCTTCCTATCCTTTACTATCCCCCCTCCCCTCCCCGCCTCTTCCCTCCCATCTTCTCTCTCTACCCCATCTCCTTTAATTCATTTCTCTCTCTTGTTTTTTTTCCCTTTCCCCTCACTTCCTCTTATATGTAATTTTGTATAACAATGGGGGTCTCCTTCCATTTCCATGCAATTTCCCTTCTCTCTCCCTTTCCCTCCCAAAATGGGAATTTTTAAAACTGCTATTAGGGCTGCTGTAGCTCAGTTATAGAGCACTTGCCTAGCAAATGGGCACTGGGTTCAATTCCCAGTACTTTAAAAAGAGAAAGAGAGAAATAAAAACTCCTATTTATTGTTTTCATACTGAGTTGGCTGGAACTATACTTACTACTTTATTAACAATAGTTCACACAAAAAAATTCAATTGCTACATTAATAAAAAATTATTCCCAGTACTACATGCCCCCCAAAAGAAAAAACTATACAGAAGAAACTAAAACATAAGAATCTGAGCAATAAGAACTTATCTCTTATGTAAGATAAAACAATTAAAAATTCTTAATTTGATATGATAAAATTATAAGGCATAAAAACACTAGAACAAGGAAAGTACATAGAAACTTGCTACAAATTCCCATTTGAAATTCATAAACTACTGTAGTTTTCATGCCTTTAATATTTGATTTTCACTTTGATTCTAGATAACAGGTAGAGATGTACATTTCATGATTACATATCACTCTAGGTTTCATAATTGAAATTCTTAAGGAATATATATCTAAGACAAGTCCCCTAAAAATAATCTGAGACTGGTATTTTTCATCTCTCAGGAAAATATATGAACCATCACACTAAGAATGAAAAGAACATTAACCAGATTGGGTAGTTCATAAGCAGAATACCTTTCTGTCATATGTGCAAATCTGGGCCAGACTGATTTTTAGCAAGAATCCTTAGCTTATTTAGATCTAATATAGAAGTTGGAAAAATTTTTCTGCAACAGGAAAAAGAATAAATATTTTTGGCTTTGTTGGCCATAGATCTCTTTTACAACTAGTCAACTTGTGGATTATAGCATGGAAGCAGCCCTTAACACTGCAAACAAATAGGAAATGTTGTATCCCAATAAAACTTCTTAAAAACATACTTCCAAGCTGAATTTAGTTAGTGACTTTGGGTAAATTCAATAAGCTTTCATTTACCAATAGTCTTTTACCATACAACGACAACAACAACAATAACAACAAAAACTGATTAATAATAGAAATTGAGACTACTTTTTAAGAAATCCTCGCTATTCCTGAGGATTTCTTAAAAGTAGTCTCAATTTGTGGTAGTCTCAATTTGTGGTGCATACAGTATCACACACCTGTAATCCCAGAGGCTTGGGAGACTAAGGCAGGAGGATCAAGAGTTCAAAGTCAACCATAGGCTCTAAGCAAAGATCTAAGCAATTTAGCAAGGGGCTGGGGATGTGACCCAGTGGTTGAACGCCCCTGGATTCAATCCCTGGTGTCAAAAAAAGAAAGAAAGAAAGAAATCCTCAGGATTAAAACATGATTTCTAGGATTTGCCCACTTTGATAATGGCTATTTCTTATTAATAGATAAAGCATCACAGTAGCTACCAATCTGTACTAGACACTAGGCTAACACCTTTTTTTTTTTGGTGGGGGGTTAGAGGGGATTGAATCCAGCTGTCCTTAACAACTAAGCCACATCCTCAGCCATTTTTGTACTTTATTTTGAGGCAGAATCTTGCTAAGTTGCTTAGTGCCTCACTAAATTGCTGAAAATGGCTTTGAATTCACGACCTTCCTACCTCAGCCTCCTGAGTCACTGAGATTACAGGCAAGCACCACCAAACTTGGCCAAAGGCCTTATTTTTAATCCTTAAATTAATGTTGTAAGGTTGCTACCATTATCCTTTTGGGGGGTTCTGGGCATGGACCCCAGGGCCTTGCATATGCTAAGCATGTACTCTATCACTGAGCAATACCCCCAGCCCTACTATCATTTTTAAAAATTGGATATAAAGGCTCAATAATTTGCCCAACATAATACAATCACATGCTTTCAACTGTACTACTCTGTTTCCAGGCAGTCTTCAGACAATCCTATTATCAGCAATCACTTCAAATATAATGACAAATTCTAATGCAACATAGCAGTCAACCAGCCTTGTACCCATTCTCTCATCTATGTATAAATGCATCATTACATTTCCAAATATGTTCTCCTTACCTATCAATCTGAATTTTCTTCATTATCTCTGTAGACATTATGGACTGCATTGTAGGTTGTTTAAAGACAAGATCCTGCATTCTGTTAAACTCCATGGAAAATTGACCTCCTTGCGGTATTTCTGGCAATGTGGGTTTTTCTTTAGTTGAGACTGGAGTAGATATTTTGTTTGTAGAGACCAGCAGAGATTTTTCTAGGCTACTGATATTCTAACAAAATATGAGGTTAAGAAAGATTTTTTTTAAATGAAGAGACAATGCTCTAAGACGACCTGCCTCTGTCTATATATATATTTTTTAACCTCATTTTCTCCCACTTGTATGCTATCCTCCAAAAAAAATGTTCCCTCTTCTTTAGTCACATCAAGTCCACATATCCTGCTGTTTTGTATCTTCCTGCTTTCACACAGTATTTGCTGTCATTCCCCACTTACCACCTGGTAAACCACAAGACTCTAATAAAGGTAAAGTTTGGGCCTGGCATGGTGGCGCATACCTGTAATCCCAGTGGCTCCAGAGGCTGAGGCAGGAGGATCTCAAGTTCAAAGCCAGCCTCAACAAAAGCAAGGTACTAAGCAACTCAGTGAGACCTTGTCTTTAAAAAAATACAAAACAGGGCTAGGGATGTGGCTCAGTGGCCGAATGCCTGCTGAATTTAATCCCTGGTATCCAAAAAAAGGGTAAAGTTTGGGGCTGAAGGTGTAGCTCAGTGGACTTGCATTCCCTTACTGTGTGCAAGGCCCTGAATTCAATCTCCCGCATAGACACACACAAAGTTCTTTGTGAAATATGGACTCAGTGAAATGCAGTTGGTCAAGCAGGGATTGAAACTCTGAAACTGTGATCCAAAAATACACTTCCTCCTATAAGTTGTTCTTGTCAGATATTTTGGTCATAGAGACGAAAAGCTGACTAACAGTCATGTACAAAAAAGCCAAACTAATTTATTTTTCAAACCCAAAATCAAATACTAAGGGGATATAGGAACAGCATGTATCTTTTAATTAATGATTTTTACTTAATCTGTGGCTAAAAGCTTGAGCTATTGAAGTGACCACAAATTTAAACTCTAAACCCGACTTTTCTTTTCTGGCTATATCCCTTACTAAACCATGTTGACCTAATTAAATAGGTAACTATTTCACATCTCTGTGCCTTCATTTCCCACTGGTAAATCAATGATTAATATTTTATATTTTGCCTTATGAGGAAAAGATAAAATGTAATGCTCAGGAGGATTCATTTTTCTGATTTCCCCAACCATTATTTCTCTATTTTTATGCTTGAGCATCTGGAAAAGGACGCAAATATGTCACATGGCCCAATTTACTGATGACTTTTTAGAAGGAGAATTTAAACTAGTTAAATATTCTAGTCCATTCACTATATACATACATATATTTATTTATATTTACATATTTATATATTTTTTGGTACTGGGAATTGAACTTAAGCACTAAGCCACATTTTCAACCCTTTTTTAAATATTTAATTTTGAGACAGAGTCTCGCTAATTGCCTAGGGCCTTACTCAGTTGCTGAGGCTGGCTTTGAACTTGGAATCCTCCTGCCTCAACCTTTCCTCAGCTGCTGGGATTATAAGTGTGTGCCACCCTGCCTGGCACTAAAAAGTATGTTATGTAGTACACACTATGTACAAGGTGGGGATATTAGAACTTGGTTTTGCCTGGCTTAGGACTACCTGGTGAACTGCCATAGATGAAAGTGAGGTAGACTGTGAATTTATTGTTATTCAACAAATTCTGACATTGAGAAAAGACACTAACATGTTTAGTCTATGTTGGTGACATAGCTCACTTATGACAATAGTATAAGCTATATTTATGCTACTATAAAATCACAAGGAGGGTTTTTGTTAAGTCAGAAAATTTTGGAGGTGAAAGATCACTATCATAAAACAGAACAAAAGTTTCATTCTTTTTTTTATACCTTTATTTTATGTATTTATTCTTATGTGGTGCTGAGGATCGAACCCAGGGCCTTGCACATGCTAAGTGAGGACACTATCACTGAGCCACAACCCCAGCCCCAAAAAGTTTTACTCTTACATTTACTGGAGTGGTGATCTCTGCTGAACACTATCAATTTAAGTTTTTCATACTCTCTTGGGTTTCTATGACAGCAAATTACTCTTTTTAAAGACTGAGAGTAAGTACAATTAATAAGACCTCATTTATTAACTGAATATTTTCCCATTATACTTTTAATTTTTACTGAAAAAGACAATAGGAAAAAAATTAGCCTTTTCTGGATTCTTTGTTAACTACATTAAGGACTACATTCTTGTTTTATAGGCATTAAAAGATTTAGTTCTTGGCCTCTGATTTATTTGCTCCTTATAAGTTGATAAAGAAATTAATTTATATTATGAAATTCCTGTAATACTGATGTTTGCTTATTTGTTTATTTATTTATTTACTTGCTTGCTTACTTATGGTAGTGCTGGGGATCAAACTCAAGGTCTTACTCATGATAGGTAAGCACTCTACTACTGAGTTAAATCCCTAGCCCATTAATGTTATTTTAAAACTATCTCAAACCAGGCATGGTGGTACACACCTCTAATCCCAGTTATTGGGGAGGCTAGGCAGGAGGATCTGCAAGTTTGAGGCCAACCTGGGCAATTTAGTGAAACCCTGTTTCAAAAAAAAAAACAAACAAAAACATAACAAAGGGCTAGGAGTATAGCTCAATGGTAGAGTGTTCACTTAGCATGTACAAAACCTTGTGTTCAACTCCCAGTAGTACCAAAAATACAACAAAGTAACAACAACAACAACAAAAATAAAAACAAAGTAACAACAACAAAACCACCTTCAAATTCATAGAATTTTAGAATTGGAAGGGATATATGGATCATTTAAAATTCCATTATAATTTGCAAATTAGAAAACTAAGACCAAGAAAGTGAAATTGATTGCTTATTGTTTACAACTAAACCCAAAGGTTTCCTGACACAAAATCTGGTGTCCTATTAAAATATTACATAAAGTTTTAAATGTTAATCAAGTTTTAAGATCCCAGACTATACTACTACTAATAATAACAATAATAAAAAAGACATTTAAAAAATATTATGGGCAATTAAAGGGAAATTTAATTTTCTTTTATTAATATGGACTTCTTTCTTTTAGACCTGGAAAGCACTTTACCCTCTAACCTATGTAGCAATTTCATTTGTCATAAGATCAGAAGAATATATTTTGTGCAAATCATATGTCTAAAGAAGAAACCTATGTAACTGAGGTTTACAAGAGTTTAAAAATTTGTAAAGACCTTTCTCACTACCAAGTTAAGCTTTTTGATACCTCAGTGGTCCTCAGGAGTCCAAAAAGTCATTGGAAATATAATGACTGAAACATGGCCAGATACCCACAAAAGCAGGATACAAGATAGCCAGCAATTACAACAAGGTCATTTTTTTTTATATTAAGGATTGAACCCAGGGGTACTTTATGACTGAGTCACACCCCCAGCCCTTTTTATTTATTTATTTTTGAGACAGATACTCACTTAAGGCCTCATTAAGTTGCTAAGCCTGGCTTTGAACTTGTGATCCTCCTGCCTCAACCTTCCAAATCACTGGGATACAGACACATGCCATCACACCTAGCCTAAAGGTGTCTGTCTGCTAGTTGCTTTGGCCTCTTGAATAGCTGGGATTAAGGCATGTGCCACCATGCAGCCTACAAAATCATTTAGATTAAAACAATATTGAGAGTCCAGTTGAATTTCCTCCCTCTGTTAGCTTTTAGCCACTGAGAAATACAAGATAGGTAGGAGAATTTAGTAATTTAATCTCCTCAGAATACATACAGTTGTTTGATCTCCTCAATATATATAAAGCTATCCCTCAGCACCTACAGTGAATTGATTTTAGGACCCCTGTGGCTGCTCAAGGCCTTGTATAAAATGGCATAGAATTTGCATATAACCTATCTATATCCTCTCATACCTTTTTTCCTCTCTAGATTACTTAAAATAACTAACACAATGTAAAATAATTGTTACACTGTATTGTTAGGGAACAATCACAAGGAAAAAAATCTGAACTTATTTACTACAGACACAATGTTTTTCTGAATATTTTTGCTCAGAGGTTGAATCCATGGGTGCAGAACCTGCATATATGGAAGGCTGACTGTTCTATATTTACAGTGACTTAACCATACACCTTTTGAAATAATACCAATATATTGGAAAGAGATATTCTGCCTCATCATGTACCTTGAGTTATGACAATTTTATTCCATCAATTGAGAATACATGTCTCAGATAATTATGATAGCCCTTTATCTGAGATAAAGATGTTCCCCAAGTTAAATTTACTATAAATGATAAAAAGGAAAGAGAGCAAAATTAAATAATGGAGAGTTTAATTACCATGCTAGTGCTTTGTTTTCTTTCATAGTGAACTGGCATGATATAGTTTAGAATAGAAAGTTGGTCAAGGGTATCCTCCAGAACTGCAGAGAGTCTCAGCACCTCTAGAAGGGAAAGTGGCTCTCTGATTTCTGGGATGACTTCTATATCTACTACATTAGTTGATTCTTCCTCTTCTTCTTCTTCTACAGCACTAGGTGGTTGGCCTGTCACCAACACAGTTACCTCAGGATTCCAAACTTTTGGAGAAAGAGGTAAGTCTTCCGGACTATCTCTTTAAAAAGAATAAAGAAAAAAGAAGTTAATGACCAATGTCTAAATATTATTTAGATTCAAAAGCATAGGCAGCATGTAGATCTGCTCCTGTGAAGTTTTTATTGTCATATAACTTAGATTTTTTTTTAAAGTAGGCATTTACTTGGGATTTTGCTAAATACCTTCCACTTTGATGAAACAAGGACAAAAAATATTGTTTAATAAAGACATACAGCCCATGCTATTTGGCTATGCTTAACCAATTTAAATTTGAGACAAAATCAGCTTTATTTTCAAACATCATCTTTAAATTCTAACCAAAATTTTCTCATGATTAGAGAAAAACAGAATGTGGTAAACAGCCTCCAAAGTGGCCCAAATAGTTCTCACTTTCTGGCATTTATAGCCTTGCATAGTTTCCCTGACAGTGAGTAGAACTAACCTATGTGGCAAAAAGGATATTGTGAAAATGACAAGAGTGTGACTTCCAAAGTTAGGTGATAGAAGACATTACAGTTTCTACCTTACTCTCTCATATCTCTTCTCTGAGGGAAATGAGTTGCAGTGTCATGAGGACACTTGATCAGCCTTGTGCAGACATGCATGAGAGTGAGAACTAAAGGCCTCTTGCCATCAGAAGCATCAACTTGACAGCCAAGGCACCATCTTGGAAGTGGATCCTCTAGTCCACACCACTAAGTTTTTAAGTAACTGCAGGCCCTAGTGCACTTCAACTTTATGAGAGACCCAAAACAGGACCATCCCTCCAAGCTGTTACCAAACTCTTGACCCACAGATACTATGTAAAATAATAAATGTTTACATTTTTAAATCACTAAGTTTTAGGGCAATTTGTTAAACAGCAATAGATAAAGAGTACATAAAAAATTACCATAAAGCATAACTAAAAACATACACACATATACAATGAATTAGAATTTTGAACATACTCTTCCATTCTTCTTTAGTTTTGTTATCCTCCACAATGTAGTTAATAATCTCACAAAAAGGCAGTCAACTAGAATGAGAAGGAAACATTGAGATTAGTTTAAGGGAGTGCTGAATGATGTTTCAGTTATTTATATTCCCTTTAAAAGAAAATTTAAAAATTATAAGAGCTGTGGTTTATCCTCTCACTTTGCTTAGTAGAGCAGTCCTGGTATAAAAGAAATACTGATATTATGGGATACAGGTCTAACAAGTAGTCAGCTTAATTATTATTCTACAAAACCTGAAGATATATGCACTCCTTTTCTTCTCCTCTTCCTGTTCTTCTCCTTTTTGCAGTACTTAGTACTACCACTAAGCTACATCCCAGACCTTTTTATTTTTTGAGATAGCATCTTGCTAAGTTGCAGAGGCTAGCCCCAGATTTGTGATCTTCCTGCCTCAACCTCCCAAGTAGCTGAGATTACAGGTGTTCACAGACAGGCCTAGTAAAAGAATATTTAAAATTTTTAAAACACAAAAATATCTCTCCTTAGAACTCTTCCATGTTTTCCCATTATCTTAGAACAAGGACCAAAATTCTTAACTTGGTCCATAAGTCTGCATGATCCAGACCCATCTGGCAATGCTGTTTTCTTGCTCTTGTCTTTAGCCTGAAGGGTTTCTTTCAATTCTATGGAATCTTGCTCTCTTCCACATGCTATTCCTTCATTCTTTTCATCTTTTCACCTAGTAAAATCTTACTGGACCCATTAGATACCAACTTAAAACAGTAGCATTTTTTGAGACACCTACTATTTACCTCTATAAATTCAATCTCCATCAATTTCTGTGCTCTTAAGACTGATTCATATGGAATCCATCAATGAGAGAGTCCAGAAAGAGATCCAGGTGCAGGAGAGTTACGTCAAGTTATTTTTCTTCCCAGCTCCCTCCCTGACATATTATCTTTGGTTGGCTGTTTCTCTATTGAAGGTCATGGCTCCTGCAGGCAATCCTCTTCAAACCCTCACCCCACTTCTGGTTTAGGTAACAACTTCTTTCCCTGTGCCTAGAGACTGCATTATCTCTTTAAATTTTATTCTTGCCTATATGTTTGTAAGGTACTTCACTAAACTCTTACCATGCCAGATACACACACACACACACACACACACACACACACACACACACACACACACTCACACACACACAGTGTTGTATTTAACACACTGAAAGAAGTTTCATAAAACAACATGTGATACTTTGTTTTACATTTTATTTTAAAAAGTATGATCATGATCTACTAATGCATCATCACCTGCAGTTTGAAAAATGCCTTAGATGTCACTTCTCTAGGTGTTTCTTTCCCTGACCCCAAAAGATGGATCATGCTTCCTCTATTCAAGTAATCATAGAACTCTGCAAAGCTCTCCTTACAATTTGTAATGTTTATGTCAATTTTACCCAATAGTTTGTTAGGTTTCATGAGAGCAGGCACCATAACAATAAATCTCACTATTGTATTGTAAGCACAGGCACCGTGCACAATAAGTATTTAATACCTTCAGGAATGAATCTTTCTTTTCTAAGTTAAAGAGGAGAATCATGCTGGCATGTTCTCAAATCTGAGGTACACACTAATGACATATTTGCACACAGCATTTCACATGTAACTACACTCAGTTCTCATTTCATAGATTACACAAATATTTTTGCATAAAAGTCACAATTTTAATATTGGGTGCTATCCATTGTACCTTGAAGTCTATTTTCTCAAAAGGAATATGCTATTGTCAAATAAACTTCTACGTACTTTACAAGTGTGGAATGCCTCACAAAAATTTGTGTGTCATCCTTGCACAGGGGCCATGCTAAATCTTCTCTGCACCATTCTAATTTTAGAATATGTGCTGCTGAAGAATGAATCTCTTAAGTAGCAGAATTTCTAGTATATTTCTGGGACAGAGAAAACTGGATGGGATAGTGGGTTACAAGGAACATAACCCTATCCTGTTGTATTTAATAGAGTATCTGATTTTAAATGTGACATACATTTATTTCATAAAATGTTGGAGTTGTCCTTTACTCCTCTCTCTCATTAATTATGTATCAGCAATACATTTAAAATATTCAGAATTTCAGGACTAATCACCTGTACTGAATGTCCATCATCTCTCAACAGGACCATAAGAGTAGCCTCCTAACAGGTCTTCCTGCTTCTTCCCCTGCTTCTCTTCAGTCTCAACACAGTGAACCCATCAGATCTAGTCACTCTTTAGTTCAGAACCTTCAAATGGCTTCCAATGCCATAGAAGAAAAAAAAAAAAGCCTCTTAATTTTTTTCCACAAAAGTTATCACCTTCTAATGTACCATATATTTTACTTGCTCGTTTTCTTGCTCCCCACAGTATGATGTAAGCTCCATGAGAACAGATTTTTGTTTATTGCAGCGTCCTACAATTCTCTATCCTTGGTAGCCATTCAATAAACTAGTTGTTGAATAAATTAATCTATAGGGCTACCCAAGTAAATGCGCAATAATTAGGAAATGTAAACCTCTGACTCCTCCAATCCATCTCATTCTAATCTTACAAGTATTTACGAGACCTATTAAGCATGGCAGGACGCGGGCGCCCCGAGTTTGTCAGCTCAAAGAATTCTCCTAAGGAGGCGGTAAGGCCGTCGCTGGACATACATGCTCTCCCTCCGAATAAAAGCAAAGGAGGGCGATAACTTTTAAAGGCATTTCTCTCGTTATTTGGGATGGGCGGGCGGGGGATGTCTCATGATGTGGCCCAGGCTGGTCTCGAACTCGCGGGCTCAAGCGATTTTCCCGTCTCAGCATTCCGGGTAGCTGGAACCACAGGACTGGGCCACTACGCCCAGCTTTTAAGTCGTTTCATTTAAAAGTAAAAGGAGTAGAGGGAAAGGAAGGTAAAGTGAGGGGTAGTAGGGAAGGAATTGCTCATCCTGCCTTCCGGCTCCCAGCCTTTCTCTTCAAGTCTAGGGTAGGATCCGTAGGTCTCCCTTCGTCCTACTTCTCTGAGGAAGGAGGGAAAGACATTCCTTATGTTTGAGAATCAAAAGTGTGATATCTAAGGAGGGGACGAACGTTCCCCGGCCCAGCTTTACCTGCAGCACCTCTCGCCTTCGGAAACAAGCTAAGATGCTGCTATGGCAACATAGAGGGGAGGAGACCGTTTTCGCTCCTCCTTTAGCTGGCTAACAACTTTGCCTCTCTCTGTTCTCAAACACTACAGGTTGTAGCTTGCAAAGATGAAAAGACTTAGGGAAAATTTATATGAGTGCTCCTGAAGGTGACTTTTTCAGTCCGAAAACGATTTCTAGGACTAGTTTTTCTGGCGGTCGCGGAGGATGCCTAAATTAGGGGCGGGGCTGAGCAATGTTTATCCCACAAGGCCATGCGGCGGGGCCTCGCCTTCCTTTTTCCGCCATCTTGGAGCCTGTGGAGGTGAGTAAACCCCTCGCTGGTGAGCTTTGGAGGCAAATAACTGGGTTGGGTTTACCCATATACCGTGGCGAGGCACCGATTCGGTTCGGAGACTCTGCTTGCCAGTGATTTCTGTGGGTTCCGGGAAGAAGGAGGACGGGATGGCAGAGATGAGAGACTGATTGTGCTAGGCTCCTAACACCTGGTGAATGAGCGCTGCGGTAATTATAGGGATTTGGGGGCCCAAGCGGGGTACAATCGTCACTCCTTATGCAGTTGCTTGTGAAGCAGTGGTTCCTTGAAGCTGCCTTTTTTTAATTTGCTCCCATTCCATACTTTTGCATGTTTACAACCTCAACTTTTCTCTAAGCTAGAGCAAATGTCTTCTGTGTATTTTACCGCCAGCTTCGTACGTAAATCTTCATTTTTCAGTGAATTTTATCTGTTACTGATAGCGGCATGAGTTTGCTCAGGGCTTCCGATTGCGGCTTTTAGGCGTTCTTCAATGTGTGGTTTTGCTTCTTAGTTGCTGTCTTCATTTTGGAGTTTGCTTAGGTATCATTCATTCTCTGTGGTTTGAATGTTTCGCCAAGCTCTGCGCTTCATGTAAGTGCATTACGCTTCCCCATATTCCCATGAAACGGGTCAAAAAGGAATTTGCCTGAGAGGCTTAAGAAAAATAACAGGTGAGAAACTTGTGTTGCATGGTTTTAAACTTAGTTTTGTTTGTTTTAAGGCCTGCTGGGAACAGGACTTCTAAAAGACAGATATGTCTGGAAGGTATGCTTCTTAAATATATATTTTTTCTCTCCCCACGCTACTTTTAGAGGTAAACCTATATGCTGGTTAAAAATTTGGTGTTTGCTATGAATAACTTTCAGATGGGGGCCCTCACAAGTCAAATCATCTTGATGGTTTAGGAAGACAACCGAGATATTTTAACAGTTACATTTAACATAACATGTATCGTATGTTTCTTAGGTTGTGGTGCAAAGCCATTTTTGCTGGCTATAAGCGGGGTCTCCGGAACCAAAGGGAGCACACAGCTCTTCTAAAAATTGAAGGTGTTTATGCCAGAGATGAAACCGAGTTCTATTTGGGCAAAAGATGTGCTTATGTGTACAAAGCAAAAAAGTAAGTTTATACTACTGTGTGCCTTGGAATTTTTACTTTTTACTCTGCCTTATTTTTCTATTGAAAGGATAAATAATGTTGGTAAAGTAATTGGTACTGCTGTGGCTTCTGCTTTGATCCTTTTAAGGAACTTCATGGGAAGTTACGGGAGGTGTTTTTTTTGTTTGTTTTTTAAACCTATAGTGGGTAATGTTGCACTGGGAAAAATCACAGCTGTCACTCAAGTTTCAAGAAGCAGCTATTTACTCTTAATGGTTTATGTAATGCTTTTTTCACGTACCTTAGTTAATTTTGTTCTTTAAGATATTTTTCATGTATGCTTTTAGATGTTATATTGTTTTGTGTATGTGTGTGTGGGGATTGAACCCAGGGTTTTTCACAAGCCCCTAGCTGTACCCACAGCCCAAATGTGATTTTAATACTGGGCTTGTGGGGGGGGGGTCTGTACTGGGGATTGAACTCGGTGGCACTCTACAACTGAGACATACCCTTCCCCAATTCCGATTTCAGTTCATGATCCCCAGCCCTTTCATTTAATTTGGAGATAGAGTCTTCCTGAGTTGCTTGAGCTGGTTTTGAATTTGCTGTTCTCTTGCCTCAGCCTTCCCAATCACTGGGATTACAGGAGTGTGCCACCAGGCCCAACTTAATCCTGGGGTTTTTAGCTCACTCCATACCAGTTAAAATCTCTGGCCTCCTTTTCCTGTTTAGTCAGAGTATTCCTTTAAAATTTCTAGTTCCATCACATGTAGGTTGTAAACCCCAGTGGGTCATCTCATTCAGTTAAAAAAAAAAAAAAAAGCTAAAGTCTCAATGAGGGGCCTCTTAAGAACATGTGCATTGAGGACTCCACATTTTTGCTCTTATCCCAGCTAGGGCTCACCACTTTGTACCTACAGTCTCCCTAACTTGGGGTTGTTATTTAAGGTTTTTGGTGTAGGGGTTGTGTGTGTGCCCCTGCGATGAGTAGGGGTGCTGGGGATTGAAATCAGGACCTTGTGAATGCAAACTAAGCACTCTTCTCCTGAACTATCTCCCCAGCCCCCCTTCAGCTCTTTAGCATATGCTGTTCCTTCTCTCTGCCAAGGTCATCCCCTGATAAAGGTGCCTGGTATACAATAGTTATTTTATCTGGAATTAAAAGTGTTCCAGACATACTCAGTGGGTAACCAAGTTTGAGAGGTACTAGAGGTTAGTAACCATGAACTTGTATGAGACTATATTGTTTATGTGAGTTCTCCTTCCTTTTTTATTCCCTTTTAAAATCAGCAACACAGTGACTCCTGGTGGCAAGCCAAACAAAACCAGAGTAATCTGGGGAAAGGTAACTCGTGCCCATGGAAATAGCGGCATGGTTCGGGCCAAATTCCGAAGCAACCTTCCTGCTAAGGCCATTGGACACAGAATCCGTGTGGTAAGTAGAAATTTTTAGCAAAACAGCCCTCTTCTGAGACAAACTTAATTAAGCCCAAGAGGTTGAGCTGTAACTTCTAAGGATTTTTTTTGAGTATAAAATGAAAGTAAATTATGCCCAAATCAGTGACTGTAGTGTAGATAATGAGTATTACATAACATCTGATTTGGCATCTTATAAGAAGGTGATGGCAAAGTGTTCAAACAAATTGTGCCTATCTGTGCATGGCGGCACATGTCTGTAATCCCAGTGACTCCAGAGGCAGGAGGATCACAAGTTCAAGACTGTCCTCAGCAATGTAGTGAGACCTTGTCTCAAAATAAAAAAATAAAGGGCTGGGGGTATAGCTCAGCCATAAAGCACCCCTGGGTTAATAATAATCCTCAGTACAAAAACAGAAAATTTGTGCCTAAATTTCAGTTTTGCCAAAGCTACTTGAGGGAAAATAATTTTTTTTTTTTTTTTTTAGTACTGGAGATTGAACCCAGGGGCACTGAGCTATATCCCTACACTTTCTATTTTTATCTTAAGGCAGGGTCTTGTCAAATTGCCTGGGCAACAAACTTGTGAGCTTCAGGCTCTGGGATTATAAGCATCTTTGTTCAGCCTTTAGATGTTATCAACTTTGTTTTGTACATGAAGAAAACATTCTGAGGTTTAGTCTTAGACTCCAAATCCTGAGACTGTTTTTCCTCAAGTAACTCCTGCTTTTTCTTTATTAGGATCCATTTTTAGTTGACCATAATCTTTGGGTCATAGGGATACTGTAGAGCCTTGCTGAGCATTTGAGCTTTCTCATCAGAGGATTCTTAACTCTAAGAAGCAAAATTAAATATTCTCCCAATACTTTTTAAATTATTTTAATTTTCGGTATTGAGGATAGAACCAAGGGCCTTGTGAATGCTAAGCAAGCCTTCAATCAGAGCTATTCCCCAAGCCCTAGTACTTCTTTTTTTAAGAGTATGTTCTTAAGCATATTCTCTTATAAACTGTGCTACATAACTTGGTTCTCAGGAACCGCCAGAATATGTCATTGGATACCTTTCAGAGATGACTAAGGAGGCTAGGGATGTAGCCCAGTAGTTGAGTGCTTATTTAGCATACGTGAGGCCCTAGGTTCAATCTGTAGTATAGGGAAAAAATTTCAGATAAAAGTGGGATCATAAGAGATTAATTCATGTTATGGCAATCAGTAACATTTGTAAATTTGTATATAACATTGACCTAGTGTTCTTTTTTTCCCCTAGATGCTGTACCCCTCAAGGATTTAAAATGGAAAATAAAGATGGATTTGTGTTCTTGTATATTTTTGTTCAGTGGCTCAAAAAACTTGTCTTCAATTGATTTCGCTATATGCTTAAAATGATGGAGGTTTTTCAGCATCTTCAAAGTACAAGGAAATCAGGGCTATATATAATGGACAGTATGAGGCAGTTACAGGGATTTAGAAAGTAACAGGTTAACATGAATACCTTAATGGGCATTTTTGGAGGAAATAAATATGATTTGGGGAAAGTGGGAAGTGAAAGAGGCATAAAATTATCGCTTAAAAGGTCTGGGGATGTAGTTCAGTGGTAGAGTGCATCAGACTGTTTAGTGTATACAGTATAGATTTTTAATAGTATACTATATATACAGTATAGATTGGTTGGGAAGCTTATGAGTGAAAATGGAATTGGGAATAATTTCAGTAGAAATTACATTGATATTTAAATTTTAGGGGCTGGGGTTTTTGATCCAGTGGTAGGAGTGCTTGCCTAGTATGTGTGAGGTACTGGGTTTGACCCAACCAAAAACTTTTTTAAAATATTTTTTTAGTTGTCAGTGGACTTTTAATTTATTTAATGATTTATGTATTTATTTATTTGTGCTGCTGACGATTGGACCCAGGGCTTCATGCATGCCAGGCAAGTGCTATACCAGTGAGCCACAACCCCAGCCAGCCCTACAACTAAAAATTTTTAAAGAATATTTTAGATTTCAAAGATGTGCTTAAAATTATACAATAAATCATTTTGCAGTATGGTTGTAGAATTCTGATTGATGCATTATTCAGTAGTTGTACTAAAGCTCAAGTGGCCATCGAAGGAGCCCAATTTCTTGTAATGATTGGGATTTACACTCTTGACAGTTTCATTCATTGGGAGTGTGGCCTCAAGCAAAAGCAATGCATTGGAGTAGCAGCCTTTGGCCATTGGTCAGCTTTTTGCCAGAGCTGTGCATTTAATGGACAACTAGAATTTGATTAGTAGAACTCTAAGGAAATTGAACTTAGAAAGTATGGGTTCAAGAGCAAGAAAGGTATCTTGTGAACCAACTCCCAATTGTTTTCAAAAAAGCCAGGTAGATATGATTGGTATTTCAGTACTCGGGGATAGAGGCATATAAATAAAATGGCTTATATAAAATGAAAGAAACAAGGTGGTGGTGATACAAAGATCTTGAGGCATTTGAGCCATTCAAATTGGGTCATTTAGTGTGGCTAATAAACCTGTTGGGGCAGTGATTGGGAGTCTTTAAAGCTAAAAGCTGCCACGTTACGAAAGATCTTGTGTCCTAGAAAAGGGGTAACTGAAAGGGGGGGAAATCAGGCTTTGCAGTCTTAACTGGTTTTTGATAACCAGAATAGAGCAGATCCCCTAAATACTAGGAATGGAGGCTTAAAAGATAACAGGTCTTGGCTTTGGTGGCTGAATGGATAATGACATGTTTACAGAGCTAGGAGAGCAGAAGGTGGTTTTGTAGTGGTAGCAAAAGTTTGGCAAAGTGGGCTGGGAGGTATGTGGCTCCATGCTAGTGTAAGTCCCTGGGTTCAATCCCCAGGACCACCAAAAAAGAATTTGAGGGGCTGGAGTTGTCACTCAGGGATAGTGAACTTGACTGGCATCTGAGGCATTGGGTTTGATTCTCAGCATCTCATAAATAAAGGTCTGTCAACAATTAAAAGTATTTAAAAAAATTTTTTTTAGGACCATGTAGGACACTAACTTGTGGCATCCAGGAAGGCAAATGGAGGTTTCAGGTCTGGTTAGGCACAGGGGAAAAGGGAGCAGAGGTCTCCATAACTGACTGGGACCTGAAGACTGGTCTGAACAATACTAGGTGAGGGTTGAAGGTGGATAAATGGGCTTTTTGAGAAATCCAGGAAAAGAACTGACAGCATCCTTAGGTAACCTGAGTATGCAGTGGCAAATGAGCTGCATGTGCAAATGTGTGTGGGTTTTTTTTTCTTTAATATTTTTTAGTTTTTAGTTGTACACAATACCTTTATATGTGGTGCTGAGGATCAAACCCAGGGCTTCACAGGTGCTGGTAGAGCAAATACGTGTTCTTTAGGAACACAATGCAACGAGTGTGAAAGTGCATTGTCTTCCTGTACCCCTACTCAGGTTAAAAGGTACTTTGGCCAATTCTGCCACTGGAGGGATTGCATAGTTCACAAAAATGGGCTTTCTAATACTAGAATATGTCCACTATGCAATCAAAAGCCTTTTATCCATCATGGTACAGGAAGCCTTAATATATTGTTTGTGCTTTTTTTGTTTGCTGCTGAGGATTGAACCCATGGCCTTGTGCATGTGAAGCAAGCACTCTGCCAACTGAATTGTTGTTTGTGCTTTTAGCAGTGGAAAAATCATGTTTTGAGAAATTTTGATTTAGTATACCAGTAAATAATGACTCAACCTGTAAAATGGTTATACAGCATGATCACACCCTTCTTTTGAGTACAACATCTCAACTAGCATTGTAAATTGAAGGTTTTATTTCTGACGACATTTCCTAGCAATTTACAACATTCAGTTTCTGTGGAGTAATATTTAAGATATTTTCAGTTCCTGATGTTTTGCTGGGGATTATTAGATTTAGCTTCATACATTCTACTGAAGTGCTTTACAACAGCTACAGCTCCACTCTTTCCAGTTTCTGCTTTTAGTTATTTGCTTTCATGGACCACAGGAAGAGTTGTAACATTTTTCAGTTTTTAAGGTAGTTTCCACAAATGGCCAGTATCCACCAATATCTTAATTCTTGGTTAGCCGGGTGCGGTGGCGCACACCTGTTATCCCAGCAGCTCAGGAGGCTGAGGCAAGAGGATCACCAGTTGAAAGCTAGCCTTAGCAATTTGGCGAGGCCCTGGGCAACTCGGGGAGACCCTGTCTCTAAATAAAATACAAAAAGCACGGGAGGTGTGGCTCAGTGGTTAAGCTCCCGTGGGTTCAAACCCTGGTATTAAAAAACAAAAAAGGTTTGGGGTTCAGTAAAACAGTAAAGAACATAACTGATTTTGTAGGAAATGACGTTACTTGATAAATGGGACTAAAATTCGTTACAAAAGTGTTCTTCACACACTTTTCACACAGGACTACATTATAGACTATTTTGCAGCTGTACGTATGTCCATTTGAGAACTGGCATCTAGTTACGGCAAATCTCGTGAATTAAAAGGAGCGAAAAACCTTGGTAAGGACACCTACGTACTACATGTACCACCCGCCTACCACCGCTAGTCTTTCCGGTTTCCACTGCGCAGCCCACGTGAGCCGTTAAATACCATTTACTGGCTGGCTCTGCGCAATGAGACGCTATGGACACGACCTGCTATCGTCTTGTAGGTGACACTAGCCAATCGAAAAACTGCTTTTCTTTCCTTTTCTCGGGCTGGTCCCTGGAGCGGCGAGGGGCGGGGCTGGACCCGGGCACGGAGGCGTCACGCACTCCATGGTAACGACGCTCGGCCGAAGATGGCGGCCGAGTGGGGTGGACGAGTGTGTTACTCCGGGTCGGGCCCGGCTCCTAGCCGGTGGCGCTGGAGTGCTTCTTTGTGCGTCAGAGGAGTTTTACTACTGTTAGGCGGCCTGCCGGCAAGCACCACGTCTATTCCCATCTCCGTGGGCACCTCGCCGCCCTGCCGGCACCACGTCCCCTCTGACACGGAGGTAGGGCGAAGGAAGGGCGGGAGCTGGCCGGGTGATAGTAAAGTGATGAGGGAGAGTCACAGTAGAGGGTAATGATTCCGAGGGGGTATTTTGGAAGAGAAGGCGAAATTGGGACCGAGACTGAGCGCTTACAGGGCTGGGACTGTTATTAGCTTCCGACACCCTGCAAAGTGGCCGAGTTAGGCACTCAGCAGCATCACATTTCCGTGCTTAGGTGGTAATACCATAGCAGTGGTTTTCACACTGAGTGTGTATCTGAAGCACTTGTTAAAAAACGAAGATTGCTGCCCGTCTCCCTTTCTGACTCAGTCCTCAGAATGGCAATTTAGTTTCCAAATGGATGATACTGCTTGTCCAAGGTCCACACTTTGGGAACCAGTATCTAAAGATTTGGGGAGAAATTGGTAGGAGAGCCAGACAAAGGCATTGGAGAGATGTTAAGGGTTTTCTGAAAACAAAAATGAAGGTTTATTTTCAAGTTATTTCATTACTTTGCTTGCTTTAATCCTGTTCTCCCATCCTGCAAGTACCTGCCTGCCTTCTTCCCACCCAGTCGTTTTTTGTTGTTTTGTTTTGTTTTTTTTTGCTTGTTTAAATCCTTTCAGCTTCAGTTCAAGTCTCCCTTCAGGCATTTAACCAAGTACTGTTCTGTGGTAATGGCTTATGTTTTCAGGCATGTCATGTTTTGTAGTTAAATTGCAACATTCCTTGAATAAGGTTTGTATGATATACTTGATTCCTTCACAGTACTTAGCTCAGACAGAGGCGGACCACAATCATCCCCCTCCCCCTCCCCTGCAGTACTGGGAATTTAATCCAAAAACACTCTACCACTGAGCTACATCTTTAGCCCTTTTTATTTTATGCAGGGTCTTGCTGAATTGCCTAGGCATTTCTCCAATTTGCCATCCTTTTGCTTCAGAGTCACTGGGATTACAGGCATGCTCTACCTCTTTCAACTATTAGTAATCAGAATTGAGAAAAGGAGGAACTATACTTAAGGCAGGGCTGCATGCTGTGATTGGCTTAGATTCACCTAGAATTTTTTTTCATCTTAACCCAGATAGCTAACTAAGCTCACTCATTTTGGTGGCAGTTTCCAAAAATGTTAGGCCTACTGATTGTAACTGAGTTGAAGTTTTGCAGCTCTACTACATATTATAACTTTTATCATGACACTGCATTTTGGCTGAATTCATTTCTTTAAAAAATTCCACAGAGCCCTGCACTTCCTCTTTGAATCTGGGTTAAAATGAGAGAAAGTAGTTCAAACAGCCACAAAACCTTTTAGGTAGAAAGAACCTTGGTAGCTGTTTTCTTTTTCTGACCATTGGGAGTGTACAGTTCTCCAACCTGGTTTTCATTTGTTTGTTTGTTTTTTGGGAGGAGGGAGGTTGTTTATTGGTGATGGTGGTGCTTGTTTGTGTCTGTGTGTGAGTGATGCATGATGCTGGGGATCAAGCTCAGGGCCTCACTCATGCTAGACTGACATTCTACCACTGAGCCATAATCCCACACCCTCCAATTTGTATTTAAACATTTCCACCAATAGGGTAATTTTTTATTTCTAGAGGTAGCCCCTTTGTTTTTTGGAGATGATCATTGTTAAAGTCCTTTTTATAGAGCTGAAAACTTCTTGATACTTCCCAATATTTCTATTCCTGCCTCTTGACTGAACAAGGTTAATAGTGATAGTGCTTCATATGTTAAAAGCAGTCTATTAAGTTCTCAAATATCCTCATTTCTAATTAGTTTCCTTAGTTTTTCATAGAATATATAATAGCATATAATGTTGTCCTCATCATTCTCCTTGCTTTAACCTGGACAAAAAGTTAAGGTGAGAACTATTCATCATAACTCATTGTATTCATGCTAGTGACTACACTTCTGTTACATCCTACAGGCATTCACTTACAACCTGTGTGTGTGTGTGTGTGTGTGAGTGAGTGTGTGTGTGTGTGTGTGTGTGTGTGTGTATCTGTGATGGTGATGATAAAATACAGAACACTTTGACTTATTTAACCTGCTGTCAACCAAAACGTACACATTTTTACTTTTTATTATATATATTAAAACCAGAATAATATGGTAAACCCCCGTGGGTCTAGTCACTACTTATCAACATTCTGCCATTCTTGCTTCATATACTTCCAGTTATTCCCAATCACCCCACTTGACTTAATGTTATTAAAAAAGGTTTTCTTTTCTTTTTTTTTCTTTTTGGTAAAATTTACATGTATTGCAGTGCCACATGCATTCATGTAAAATCCATAACCTATCACAATATAGAACTTTTCCATCACTCCATAAAGTTCCCACCTGTCCTGTGCCAGTTATGTCTTTCCCATCCACCATAGGCAACTACTGTTCTAATTTTTTTTTTTTTTTTTTAACAGCAGGTTTGTTTTTCTAGTTCTAGAACTTTGTTTATAAGGGTAGAATTTTATGATCTCTGTGTCTGGCTCCTGCTCACAACTATTTCTATGAGATTCATGTTTTTCTATGTGATAGTAATTCCATCCTTTTTATTGTTAAGTATTCCCCTGAATACCCAAATCATAATCTGTTTTTGCTTGATCTCAATTATTTTCAGTTTTGGGGTATTGTAGAAAAAATACATCATTGTATAAGGGTTTTATTAGATATGTTTTTATTTCATTTTGTAAATACTTAGGAGTACATTTGCTAGGTCAGAAGGTAGGTGAATATTTAATCTTATAGAAAATTACCAAATCTGGGGCTGGGGTTGTGGCTCAGTGGTAGCATGATTGCCTAGCACGTATGAGGCACACCTGTGTTGCATCCTCAGCACCACATAAAAAAATAAATAAGTGAACAAATAAAAGGTATTGTGACCATTACAAAAATGTTAAAAAAAAAAACTATCAAATCTTTCTCCAAGTTCTGTACCATTTTACATTCCCACCAGCAGTTTATTAAACATTATGATTGCTGTATATCCTTACCAACAGAGGTTTCTTCCGAGAAGTTTTTGCTTACCCACCAGCTCATAAAGACATTCTCCTATTTTGTAGAAACTTTTGGGGCTATGATTCATTCTCAAATTGATTTTTATTTTTATTTCTTTTCTGTGGTACTAGGGATTGAACCCAGGGCCTAGTATATGCTAAGCAGGCATTCTACCACTGAGCTACATCTCTAGTCCTTTTTTATTTTTTTGGTACCGGGAATTGAACTCAGGGGTACTTGACCACTGAGCCATATCTCCAGCCCTATTTTGTATTTTTATTTATTTAGAGACAGGGTCTCACTAAAGTTGCTTAGCACCTCACCCTTGCTGAGACTGACTTTGAACTCATGATCCTCCTGCCTCAGCCTCCCCAGCTGCTGGGGTTATAGGCTGCACCACCATGCCTGGCTTCCAGTCCTTATTTATTTTGAGAGAGTGTCTGATTAAATTACTGAGGCTGGAAAATTTGCAGTCCTCCTGCCTCGAAGTCCCTGGAATTGCAGGCATGTGCCACTGTGCCCAACTGGGGTTTACTTTGTACAGTTTTTGTTATTTATTTGATTTTTTTGTCCGTTTGTTTTTGGTAGCACTAACAGTTGATTCCAGGACCTTCTGCTTGTTAAGGAAGCTCTCTCTCACTGAACTATACCCCCAGTCTTATTTATTCTTGCAAATAGCCCACGCTGGCCTTAAAATTGTGATCCTCCTGCCTCAGTCTCCCAAATAGCAGGGATTACAGTTGTACATACTGTGCCTGACTTATTATTTCCTCTTTCTACTTATTGTGTATTTACTTTGCTCACATTACAAGGGGGAAAATTTAGGTCATTTTTTTTTTTAGGTTCTTTTTTAAAAATTTTTTTAGTTGTAGATGGACACAATATCTACCTACCTACCTACCTTTCTTCCTTCCTTCCTTCCTTTCTTCCTTCCTGTGCTAAGGATCAAACCCAGTGCCTGTAAATGCAAGGCAAGTGCTTAAAGCTGAGCTTCAACCTCAGCCCCGTTTTTTAGGTTCTTCAGGTCAATGTAAACATTCAAAGATAGAAATGCTGGGAGTGATAGATTGCTTGCCTAGTGTGCACCAGGCCCTGGGTTCACACACAGACACACACATACCAAATAAAGAAATTTCTATGTACATCTTTAATTCCTTCCCACAGATTTTGACACTTTGTATTTTAATTATCATTTATTTAAATGTTTATTTCCTTTAGCAATTTCTTTTTTGATCATGAATTATTATAATTGTTTAAAATGTATAATTTATAAATATTCAGTTTTTATTGTTAATGGTTTCTAATTTAAGTGTATAATATAGCCTCTGTAAGATATCAGTTATGAAATATGAGATTATTTTAGTCATAGCTTAAACTATGTTGTAGCCTTTGTTTTTTTCCATGTATAAAGAATATATGTTGTGCTGGACATGGTGGCCCATGCCTGTAATCCTACCAATTCGGGAAGCTGATTCAAGAGGATCACAAGTTCAAAGCCAGCCTCAGCAAGAGAGAGGCACTAAGCATCTCAGTGAGATCCTATCTCTAAATAAAATATAAAATAGGGCTGGAAATGTGGCTCAGTGGTCGAGTACCCCTGAGCTCAATCCTTAGTACCCATCCCCCAATTTTTTTTTAAAGGGTTGGAGCTGTGGCGCAGTGGTTGAGTGCCCTTTAGCTAAATCCCTGGTACCAAAAAAAAAAAAAAAAGAATATATGTTGTATGGTTATTGAGTGGATTTCTATACATGTCGATAAGGTAAGGCGATAGTATACTTCATATTTCCTATATTCTTAAAATTTTAGTCTAATTGTTAAGATTTTAATCTTTAAGATTATAGATTTGTTTCTTTCTTTAGTTCTGTCAGTTTTGCTTCATAATTTTTGAATCTCCTTTAATTACTTGCATTCACATTTATAATTTTTTATGTCTTTTGATGTGGCCCTTTATCATTTTATCTGATATTAACTATACCCATTTCAGCTTGTTTATGATTAAAGTTGACTGATATATCTTTCCATCCTTTTGC